GGAATTCATTTGTTTAGTCAATTACCAAAATTTGGATGATTTTGAATATTCACTTGAAAAGTTATCAAAGAAAAACATTTTTCATTTTGTAACTTCGAGGGCCCGCTACTTGGTAACGAAGGATTTTAGAAAAAAAAGTTATATGAAGTACTGGTGATATTTTGACCCCATCTATACATTCCCGAGAGGAAAAGAGGAAGTCCAGGGACACCCTGTATAACTGTGAATTGTTAAATTACCGTTATGGCTGTGAATTAAACTCATATTACAGTTAGAATTGTGAATACAGTTGTAAATGTGAATTTGTTGATTTAAAGTTATATCTGTGAATCAAAGATGTATCTGTGAATTTACAGTTACAATTTCGAATTCACAATTACAACTAAAGTCACAGTTGTAAGTGTGAATACTAAAAGACAATGAGTCTTCTAGACGACAAAAAAGTTATTTCTCACAAACATTTGCAATTATGATTACAGTTATATCTGTGAATTAAACTATACATTCGCGAATATACAGTTAAAATTGTATTAAAATTGTGAATACACAGTCCTCAATGTGAATTTGTTGATTTATAGTTATATCAATGAATTAAAGAAGATATATCTGTGAATGTACAGTTATAATTTCGAATTCACAGTTATAATTGAATTTACAGTTAAGGGTGAGAAACATGAAAAAACAATGAGTCTTCTATACTGTTATAACTGTGAATTGCAGTTATGTCTGTGAATCTAGAGCGTTACTTGTGAATTCTCAGTTGATTGGTAAATTTGTTAATTTACAGTTATGTGTTGTGAATTGAACTCATCTTTGTGAATTTACAGTTAGAATTATGAATACAGTTGTGAATGTGAATTTGTTGATTTAAAGTTATATCTGTGAATCAAAGATGTATCTGTGAATTTACAGTTATAATTTCGAATTCACAGTTATAACTAAAGTCACAGTTGTAAGTGTGAATACTGAAACACAATGAGTCTTCCAGATGGCAAAAAATGTATTTTCCAGAAACATTTGCAATTGTGATTACATTTATAGCTGTGACTTGAACTTACATTCGCGAATTCACAGTTGAAATTGTGTATACACAGTTCTCAATGTGAATTTGTTGAATTACAGAAGATATATCTGTGAATGTACAGTTATAATTTCGAATTCACAGTTATAATTAAATTTACAGTCAAGGGTGAGAATCATGAAAAAACAATGAGTCTTCTATACTGTTATAACTGTGAATTGCAGTTATGTCTGTGAATCTACAGCTATACTTGTAAATTCTCAGTGAAATGGTAAATTTGTTAATTTAGAATTATGACTGTAAATTGAAGTTATATCTGTGAAAATTTGATATTCAATAAACTTGCAACTTTTACCACAATTTTCCTCTCTTTCTAGGCATGTCATCTTACCAGCCACCGCCAACCTCTCTGTAATTCCCACGCCACTCAGAGATGACAGCACCGGACTCCGAAGGTCAAAACTGCACCGCAAACTCCAACAACGCGAAAAGCCCCACAGAACCGGACAAAAAGTCTCCGACCAGAAACAAAGATGGCGCCAAGAGCAAAAACGGCGTCAAGAACAACAAGCAGGCCAAAGAGAACATCACCAGGGTAGTCGTGGTGGCCTTGACGCCGGAAAGGAGGAGAGAAACGTGGGATAAGAAGGTGGAGTTTCTGTTGGCTGTCGTGGGGTTCGCTGTTGACTTGGGGAACGTTTGGAGGTTCCCGTATATCTGCTACCAAAATGGTGGAGGTGAGTTGTCAGATGATCTCTCAAAATTTGTGAATATTGTGATACCTTTTTTTATACTTTTGGGTTGAAGTTGAAAAAGATATATTGCTGAGGACTCGCCAAGACCGTAGAATTGCCAGAAAGTTTAGGTTGTGCTGTCGTAGTTGAAAATCTACAACAATAGTTCTTTCGTAACAGTCGACGATCTATAGGAACACTTTATGTGACTTCTCCAAACAACTGAATTGTATTTTCATGAACTCTTGTGAAAAAAACATCTCATGATATTAGAGGTGCACACGAACATCAATTGTGAATCAAATCTGAAAATCATGAATCGTAGAGTACCGCAAGGTTCTATTCTGGGACAACTGCTATTTAATCGTTTACACTCGAATCGAATCAAATATACCCCTGAGTTTTGTAAATGAAAGTCAATTGATGATGAAGCCTTCAAGAGATGATCTTTGCCGATGAATGAAGAGAATATAAATACATGTTCTTTAAAAAATATTTTAATTTATTTCATTCCAACTGGAATGTTATTGAACAGCATACATACACTGTTCTACAGATTACACCCTACTACAGAACAGGGATATAAGACGAATCATAATACAATACAATAATTACAATAAGTTACCAGATAAAAACAATACATATGAAATTAGATGAAGTAAAAAGACCTAATCTCAGAGATGAGTAGATCACCAAAGCCTATTCTGGGACACCAGCCAATGAGAGCGCGGTATAGTTTGGTGTTGCGCAGTTACGCTTTGCGCAGTATGGCTTGGTTCGGCGTACTATGTATCGGTTTCGCTCGAATCGTTACCTTCCAAACCGCGATTAACGCTACTCGTTTCTCAACCGTACGCGTGACCTTGAAAGATAACGATTCGAGCAAAACTGATACATAGTAAGCCGAACCAAACCATACTGCGCAAAGCGTAACTGCGCAACACCAAACTATACCGCGCTCTCATTGGCTGGTGTCCCAGAATCGGCTTTGGTGATCTACTGAGATGGAACAGTAAAAAATGTCGAGCTGACAACTTGCAGAATTGTATTTGACACACATGTTATGCAGAGGTGAACGTTTCAGAATATTTGTACGTGGCAGATAAAAGGATTAACCACTCTACAGGTTGGTCTAGGTACATTGAAATTCAGTTTTTGCAGAATATGTGGGTCAATAATTGAATTATTAGTCAGCTCAAAAAGAAAAATTGTGGAGTGACCATCACGACGCAACTCAAGCTATTCATAGCATGTCATGGGGAAATCTGATTGGTGGATAGATATTGTCTGATCTATAGGAGAGAAGTTACAACTGATGAGATGGATTCCAGATTATGGATGCATATTCTAATTTTGATCTGACGAAAGCAAAGTATAAGGATTCCGATGTAGATGGATCCGAGAAATTTCTAGAGATTCGTGCAATAAATCCATACATTCTGTTTGCAGCGTACGAAGGAAAGTTTTGTGTCGAATGTAACACCTAGATCGGTGAATGTGAGAGGCCGTTGAAGTGGAATATCGTTTATTAAATATTGATATGAAAATGTACGATTTTTTAGTGTGTACGTCATTACATTACATTAACTCATGTTTAAAGGGAAAATTATTACGAAAACACCATTGCTCAACACGTTTCAGATTGAGGGAAAGTCGAAGACAGTCCTTGATGCCATTGATCTCACAATATAATTTCAGATCATCCGCGTATATCAAACAGTTGATATCAATGACCTCAACTATGTCGTTTATGAAGGCGTTAAAGAGAAGTGGACCTAAGTTGCTTCCTTGTGGAACACCGGAGGTAACTGCATATTCCACGGACTTGAAGCCATTGAATATAACATACTGACGCCTGTCAGTGAAGTATGATATAAAAAGTTGGATCAGGGTCAGAGAAATGATCAAGTCTGTCAAACACCTTAGAGAAGTACGTATACAGGGTGTAACTGAATGAGTGTGAAACATTTGAGGAGGTGATTCCTCATCGAAAAAAAGATAGGATCTTACATATAAAAAAAACTTCATTGGAGCATCCCTTGTTAAGATACATCCCCTTAAAGGGGGTACATAAAATTTGTATAACAATTTTTTTCACAAACACTGAAAAAGCTACAATATTAAAATTAACCTGACGTTTTGTACTACCAAAAAGACACTTAGCCAGTAATTTATTTGGTTTACCCCATGGTTGTAAGGGGTGGAAAACGCAACCCTTAAAATTTATTTCCAATGTAACTTTATGTCTTACTATTTGTTTACCTTTTAAAAATTTATTTCCGATAGCCTGTTCCATTCTTAAAAAAATGTCTCTTGGGTTTTTTGCCCAAAATAAACCAGTTCGCAGCAAAAAATTATTTTAGGAACAACTACAGAGATACATTAGATTCATTACATCATTGTCCCCCTCAAAATAGTCCCCCTCACATATAGTATACTTGTGCCAGCTTTTTTTCCAATCTTTGAAGCAAGGGGTTAAAATCTGGTGAATACGGTGGCTAAGGCATGATTACGACCATGTGACAAAAACTCCTTATTTCTACGCTACGGTAATCGAGGAAAACAGTGAGGAAAACCTTGACATTTGCACTTGCCGTGCGTTTTTTTGATCTTTGCTTTCCTGGACTCTTCCACTGGGACGATTGGACTTTGGACCTTTTCAGCAATTTTTTTCCAGTAAGCATTCTATTGATGTATGAAAAAGTTTCTGAGGCCAGATCTGGAGAATATGGAGGATTGGGAAGTAATTCAATTCATGCAATTTTGCCATCGTTTTGGCTTTTAAAGTTTTTTTTTCGTCAAAAAGCAATGCTTTTTCAACACACCAAATTCCTTTTTATCAACTTTTTTTCAAACTAACCAAAGTTGCTTAACCCAAAATATTCTATCCGACAAACTAATAGTCCGACAGCTGTGAAATTTGTGCACGTGTCTTTTGAAGGTTATATGATTATGAAACCTTCTTTTCAGCCTATTTTGTTCAACTACACTGTTATAGTCATTTCAATAGGTACTAATTTTTTGACGAACCTGTAGCAAATATGATACCGTCAATTGAATTTGTATATCTTTCCAGCCGAAGTCGTGGATATAGACACAGTTCAATAAACATGCTCAACTTGAGTTTATCAATTTAGAGTATCACATAGAAAGTTTGGCTCGCGTTTATATTTCGTCTCGTATCGCTGATTAGTTTGTATTCAAACCCGGTGTAGATGCTTGATTAGGTTAAGACTCAAAACTGGTTGAATCTTCCCCTTGTTGAATTGCTGGTTAACTGATTCGTAGCTGGAAACGGATGATGTTTACATTCATATTATCACCATGTTATTTACGAGTCGCATAACTGGAGCTGACGCATTATTTGTTGATTGAATTATTATTGAAAATGTTATTGTAAAAGCTTTCATCGCACCGGCTTTGTTGTTTCTGTTGAATTTTTAATCGATATTTTGAGTCTGATTTGATAGGAATTCACATGCAATTTCTCAAATACTTGTTTGAATTAAAAATCTGTTTGAATCTGTTTCAAAATCTGTTTTTCCGTTAACCAGCTGTCGCACCCCTACGAACGATAACCCTCAGAAGTCGAAACTTGTGCGAGCTAAGGATTAACGAGGTCTTACCTTTCAACGTGTGATTCCTAACACGGAATATGTGCTACGTATTTGAAAAACAAAGTTTGGAAACTTTTCTACGCTACTTTGGAAGGCAAACGAAATTGGTTCCTAGATATTTGGGCTATTTTATGTTTTCGAGATTAATTGAAAAATATATCTTTGTTTTTGTTATTTTATTTACTGTTCTTTTACTTTTGAAAATGAAAAAAAAAATGTCAATTTTGAAGATATAATGAATATAGTTAAAAAAACTGAAATACTGCTATAAAAGCGTGTCTTTTAGTCTTTTTAAATTATATAACAATGTTTCCATTGTCTAAAATTACATCAAATAATTTTATACATATAATATTAGACAATGGAAGTCCGAAATACTGATATGGGAAAAAAGCTTTCCATCTGGAGGTCTCAATCTGTAGAAGTAGAAACCCAGAAATGTTTCATTATATTTACTGGAGCTCATAAACTATGCTATGCCTGTGAGTATATATTTTTTTCGTTTCAGGTGCATTTTTAATACCTTACACGATCATGCTGATCTTCGGCGGGCTTCCACTTTTCTACATGGAACTGGCTTTGGGGCAATTCCACAGAAGCGGATGCCTCACGATATGGAAGAGGATCTGCCCCGCTTTGAAAGGCGAGTCCACAACATTATTACTTTTTTGACGAGTGTTTTTTGCTCTTTTGGGAGCCTCATAGGCGTATTTAGCTTTTTTTTCCATCTATGCAAACAATTTTATTTGCAATTTTATTATGCAATCAGACCAGAACTATATAACGAATCACAACCTATATGTTCTTCTTCTTTTTCCATTAATTGCTTCAGCTGCCAGGGCTATCCAGCCAGGAGTTCCAGTCTGTTGATACAAAAACTTCCTATTCTATTTCTAGTGGAGTGTGTATGAATACTACTTATGTAGGTTAACTGATCACTCAGATAATTTGGCAACATATTGTGTTTAATTTTAAACATAAATATTAGCATATTCATTGTTATCCTTTGTTTAGCAGACATAAGAGACAGTATTTCCAACATTCATTCCACAGATGTGCGTTTATTACAACTTAATATTGCCCTCATGGATCTGTTTTGAAGCTTCTGTAGTCTGTTTAGATTTTCATTGCTCACAAAATATAGTAATGTACTGCGATAGTCAAAGTGGGGTGCTATTATTGATTTATAAACTGTTAATTTTGTATATTCACTTATTATTTTATTTCTATATAAAAGATGAATTTTCGTGGCTATTTTCTTCTGAGTATAACTACAATGCGTATTAAGGTTCAATTTTTGATCTAATACCACTCCCAGATATTTGAAAGTTGTTACCCTTTTAATGATGACATCAATATAAAGATTCAATGACAGATGTTCATCTTGCAGTTTTCTCAAACGATATTTGCTACCTATTAACATGCATTTTGTTTTATTAACATTTAACTTGAGGCCATTGTCACATAACCACTCGTTTATATTTAATAGGTCCTCATTTAAACATTCTAAGATTTCATTAGTCGTCCCAGAACAGTGTCGTCGGCAAACAGTTTTATCTTACACCTTTTAACACGTATCACAATATCATTTATGTACAGCAAGAATAGCAGTGGACCCAATACTGACCAGAGTCTTCCACATTTTCTATCTCTCTGCCAGCGTAAATCCTACTTTTCAATGGCCCCCCTAGAAAATAGTTCATTGTAGAAAATGCGAAGTTCATTGTAGAAAATGCTCAGAGCCATGGAAAAAATATGAATAGGTACCTAAAAATGGAAAAAAACTCTCGAAAAACTTACTCTACGGTACATATGGAGATGTGAAAGTTGCTATTGTGTTTTTATTCAACTCAGTCAACCAATTTCCAGGGCCGTAATTTAAAAGAGAATAATTCACCCAATTATAATCAAATATTACCGAAACATCTCGAAAAATAAAATAAAATTTAATTTCTCAGTATGAAGTGAACGTCGACGATACAAAAACTACAATAAAAAATACAGTTCCGTATTTAAAAATTCAAAGATGGGGGTGGCCCAAGTCAGATGACACCCTGTATAAAAGATTCATGGACATATTCAGATAGCCCACATCAAGTGCCAATGGCAAAATGTGGACAGATTTTCAATATGTCTGCGAATAAAGAAGATATAGGCACAAACATAATTTGGGATTTTTTGGTTTTTCCTGTATATCTCCAGAACCAGAAGAGCTATATTCGATTACTTTACAACATTGAATAGGTCTCTAAAAACACAACTTTGCCACAAACATGAAACTGCAGAAATAGATTTTGAATTACTGGAACGGGCACACTTGCAAACCGATTTCGGGCTATTTGGCCTCTCGTCGGCGCATGTCAATGATGGACACTACCTTGCACTGACGAGAGGTTAAATAAACCAAAATCGGTCTGCAAGTGTGCCTGTTCCATTAATTGAAAACCGATTCCGGCAGATGTATGGCCAAAAGCATATGCATGAATTACTTCTGTGAAGAATCCTGCACTAACACCTGGCGGATATAATCCAACGCCCTTCGTGGTATTAGCCAGGGAAGTAGTAGCTTTTTGATAGATGTCAGTCCATTGATCTACTGTTTAGGTGAGTTGAGACTAGCCAGAATGAATTGTTGTTTTAGAATGGATAGACTGCATACATTCATGGCTCCATTGCTGGAAAGTTTGAATAAGCTTCCATTTTCGTAATCACGAGAATAACCGTTTGAACACAATCTTGGCTATAAACCGGTCACGTCGCCCCGTTTCGCTCCATCTTTTGTTTGTCGAATCAATTCTTCCGCAGTTTTTCTCGCGAATGCGAGTTTTTCACGTTATTTTCCACAGAGGCAGGCATATTCATTCTCACGTTCTTTATTCGGATGGAACGCTAAAAGGACTTGTTATGTTTCTCTTTTGAAACAGGCTGTTATCAGCGAATTGCCGTTGGGAATTTTGTTGTTTCTGTCCGATTCTTCTCGTTTAAGTTATTGATGCTTTTAATGACAACAACACAGATGGATTAGCACCGCTCCAGATTCTTTTTGGGAGGTTACTTCCGTGTGCGCTACCACAGTAATTAAAGGTATAGCTAGACAAAATATCAGCACTACAGGAAAATCCTTGAAGTAATCTAATGGGGCGCCTGTGAGAAAGTAGCGATTCTACTTGGAATTGAATCGCTAATGATTAAATTCATTTGGGAAAACTTTCTCAAGAAGTTCATGGCACATAAACGCATTTCTCCAAATGAAAGAGATCTTGAACAGTGAAGTTTGAGGTGTACTGAGTTGAACCTCAAAACAATGAGCAGCTCACAGTCTGTTGAGTATTTCTGATATGATAATAGTTTATTAACCATTTGTTGGTACGCTAGGTACATATGGTAGGTCTTTATAGTATAATATTACAATTTGTTACACTAAAAATATACGGACATATGTATAAATAAATAAGTAAATAAATAAAAGCTGTCAATTTGTACATATGAATTTGAGTGTCTGTATATGAAAATAAAATAAAAATGAACAATCAATATTGCTAACCATTAAAAAGGTAAAAGTCATGTAAGATCTGTGTGAATCGAATTATCGTTCATAAACTCTTGGTAACTATAATAGCACTTTCTAAGTAAAAAGATTTTAATTTTGTTGTGAAATACCTTATCATAGGTTATTTGGTTCTACTGATTTGGTAACTTATTTTAACAACTGATTACATTTTACCGTGGGGAGTTCTCATATCGAGTGGTCCAACGAAGAGTATGCACCTTGCTTTTCTCCTTTTTTTGTAACTTAACGCAAAAATGCTCGGACAGGTCAATTTTGCTTTTGAGGGGGACACATTTTAGATGTATTTGTCTACCTGTGCCTTCAACCCCCTAGCGAGGGTGAGTAACAACCCCAAAATTTCAAATAGAAAGTGGGGTCGAGTGATATATCATTTGAAAGGGCACAAAATTCTCTTTCCAGTGATACCTCATTTGTTGTATTTACTTGAATAGTTATAAAAAAAGCATGAGCATTTACTCGATATTCTTGGTATTAATGGAAATGCGGAAAAAACGGCATTTTTATCACTACTACATTCCTCAATTTCTCTCGTGCGTTTTTTGGTTCAAATAACAACAGCAGATAAGTGTACAAAAAGAATTTAGGCAAACGTTCATTGATTCAGTTCGGTTGCTTTTGAAAGTATTTCAACTTTACTGTAAAAATGGTTTATTCCATTCCTGNACATCCCCAAATATAAAATAAAATTCAATTTCTCAGTATGAAGTGAACGTCTACGATCCAAAATCTACAACAAGAAATACAGGTCCGTATTTGAAAATTCAAAGATGGGGGTGGCCCAAGTCAGATGACACCCTGTATAAAAAATTCATGGATATATTCTCAGAGCCCACATCAAGTGTCAATAACAAAATGAGGACAGATTTTCAATATTTCTGCGAATAAAGAAGATATAGGCAAAAAATATTTTGGGAGTTTTTGGTTTTTCCTGTATATCTCCAGAACCAAAAGAGCTATATTCGATTTCTTTACATCATTGAATAGGTCTCTAAAGTACGCAGCTTTGCCATAATTTAATCGACACTCTTATCTCTTATCGTTCACGAGATCCCCATGTACAGAAACGAATTTGAATAGCCCTGTATATACTAGTACTATGTTGCTGTATCGCTGCTGTTCCAATGTTTTGACAGAATCAGAATCAACGAACTTAGGCATGCGCAGCGTTATAGAACAGTGCTTTCAAAAAAATTGTTCTACAGTGCCACCTAGTGGCGAGTTACAGAAAAATTGATAGCCTAAAAACCTTCTCTATGAAAAATTACTTGTACATATCAAGTTTCATCACGATCGGTTGAGCAATGTAGAAGTTTAAGTTTATCACTGAACAACCAACCAACAAACATCCATTTTTATATAGTAGATTGAATTTATCTATTTTATTATGTAAACAGGACAGTTGAACAAAAACTTTTTATGTTATTTGTGTTGAAAGTAAGTTTTATTTTGTTCGCGAAATTGCTTTACTCGCTACACTCGTTTCGCAAACTTTTCCACTCACAAAATGAAACCTTACTTTTAACACTCATATGATGAATAGCTATTCGACATGAAAAGCATTGCCTTGACGAACGTCAATGCCTCTATCAACTGGTGGTTTCAATATGAATCTCGTTTAAGTGAACAGAATTCGAGTGCTCTCGAATGGATTCGTTTGTTTGAGCAACTTTTTTTTTAATTGGCTCGATTGTTCGCGAGCCCTCAGAAAGGCTCCATTGAGGTAATTAATATTGAAACATCGGTGTTTACACAAACGTCCAGGAATTGAAGCAGTTCTGCGGTTAAATGGGTTCGTTCGATTAATTTATAGTGAATGTGAGAGAAGAAGTTAGAATTATTTCTTAACTTGTTCTTTTTATTGTATACTAGATCATTAGATTGTATGCTCCAGGGTTCAGTAAACGACTATATCATGATGTCAAAAAGTTGTCATTCTCATGTTGAAGACTTCTTTTCAAAATTAAAACTTCCAAAGAAAATATCATCACATAGCACCGCTCTCGATTAAGCTGAGAAACATTAGCGAAAGCTCGGGCAGCTAAAAAGAGTATTATTTACTTCTAAGCAGACTC